CCCCCCCCCCTTTGATAATCTCAGGAGAAGTTAGATCAATATCTATCTGAACTGCCCAATCCATTTTTACTCAAGAGTTTTCTCGTGACTGTCTCGTGCTGTGCAGGATTGAGCCAGAAAACAAAATCTGGATCCCAGCCATATGCCAGCCAAAAAAGAGGTTTAGCAAAATTTTAAGTACTATCACTTGCTAACGTAGGTCCTAAATAAACAGAAGAGCTTGGCAGGGAAGTCACTGTATATTAGAAAGTTCATTTATAGCCTGTAGACGATTTCCTCCTCTCAGGCTGTAGTAAATCAAATAAGGGTACTGTAGTTGATGGAATTACATAGAAAAGAGGACACTTGGTCCCAAAGCACAGAAAACAGTCATGAACGGTAATTTAATTGGGTTGTCTAAAATTTATATTATTTCTGCCTTTGAAGAGAAGGAAAAATAAAATTAGAGAAAATTTATAGCCATATCTGCATATAGGATTCTTTAAATGCCCTGAGTTTAGGCATAGCACTGCCCTTTCCATCTATTTTCATGTTTTATTTTAGGATGGCTGGTTGTGACAGTGCTTAAAATGAACACAAGTGAAGATGTCAGCTGATATTAAAAGAAAATAATATATGATTTTGCAATTTAACCTAAATAAAAGAAAGATGCAAGTTAAACTAATTTTTAAAGACATCTGCCTTTCAATGCTGCTTCAGCGATCCTAACATTTCACAGGTTTCAGAATTATGCGATTTTTCTCAACTGTATATTGGACCGATAATGTTTTATATTGAACGCTCTCGCTAATGCATCTCAATTTCTAAGTAGCACAAAAAATATAGTTCATTACTAACAAACATAAGAACCGCATAAAGAACTTAAATTCCTAAGGGAAAGAGACTGAAAGAAAAATGCTCCCAAGAGGAAATATTTTGCTTTTAACTGTAGACCTAACCCAAAGACTGCTGAGATCAGGTTTCTCTTAAAAACAGCAGCGTCCTCTTAATCCATACTGTTATTAAGGAAACTACCTGGGCAGTAATCCAAACTCAGATCTGATTCAATTAATATTAGTGATAATTGAAGGAAGACTACATTCAGGGAGAGAGGGGCTTAGTAAAGTCCCTCTAAAATATCCATTAGACAGTAAAGAAACGTATGTATAAACTCAGAAGACGCTGTTCAGAACAGCAGTGGTGCCTGATCGCAAGCTGATCTAAACATACAGTCCATTATTGTAGGCGAAGTAAATTGCTGAGGTACTCAAGGACACACCGCTGCTGCTACTTCACGGCGTACTTTTGCCTTTCACACCTATCCTGACCACTTCTCCTTCCAGTCAGGATCACACGTCCTTCCCCTGACTACCAACAACCTCTGGGAAGCGTCTGATGCAAACAAAAATAATCTACCAGACCTTAAAGACTCCAGCTTTCCATAGCCAGTGCTCTGTAGATCAGTGCCAGTCAGTAGACCATAATTTGAGGGAAAAAGCACTGGACCCAGCTGCTACACCATTGGTTTAAATGAGCTAAGTAATGCTGCTTTTTCAGAGCTGAGATCGATCGATCGATCTATCTATCTATGCTGCAAAGTTGCGCTGTGTTGTCTGTACTGGATGTAATCAAGATACTGGTTTCTCTTCTCAGGACACTCTGGCATGTGCCGAGCTACTACAGAGCCTGGGGATGCTACTGTCAGCGCATAAAACAGACCCTGTGATTGTTGGCCATACTGCTTGTATCATCAAAAACCTGAGCCTTTCCAAAAACAGACAGGTAGGTACCCAATATTTGTCACTGAACTATACCCTGGGAGGTTGCAGTTATGTTTATATCAAAGCAGCATTACCCACAGATTTTTTTTTTTTTTAATGAAACATATGCCAAGGATACTCTACACAAAATAGTGCGTATGAATAAAAGGACTTGATGTACCATAACGAAAGGGTGTGGGTTTTTTTTTTTTTTCATATTTTTCCAATACAAAAATGCTAATGAAAATAAGAAACGTCTAATTTTTCCTATGAGCAATGTGGTTACCTAATTTGAGTGACTGCATCATAGGTATAAAACATACTTCCAGCAAAGACATTTCATACTAATTAAAGGAACCATCCAAGAAAATCTGAGGTTTGTTATAAACTAGCCAAAAGGAAAACAATTTCCAATTTTTTTTTCACTTATACTAAGATGAGAATTATATGAATTTCTGGTAGTTGTGAAACCAATTTTTGCAGGGAAATAGATTCCCTCAAACTCAAGGCCCACAGTAAGAGTAAAAATAGACCATCCTTTCAAAGTTTGCTTTAAAAAATTACCATATTTGTTAAATTCTGTGACTTTATTCTGTTATCAGCAGGGAGCTGGTTCACCTTCATAAAGCTTTATAATATGCCTTGCAATGTATTTAGCTCTCACTGCATAAGTGAATCCACAGACATGAGTGGGAGTGCCAGGTTTCCAGGGTCAATTCTAAGGAACCATCTCTAAAACACGTAAGAGTCCTTGGCACAAGAGCCAAAAAAAAGTGCTTTTATGCCAGCAGGATACTAACAGAGTGTGGGAGCTTGAAAGGCAGCAGTCTTGAAATCCAGCTTCAACCTCTAAGCAGCAAGTTAAAAACCTGCAACATGAAATGAGCATGCAAAAAAACCGCCTCCCTTTTGTTGATAGACACCTGAGCTCCCTTATGGAGGTGTGAGCAGCTTCCATTATTAGGACTTCCCAAAGAGCTGATGACTTTGTGGTTCAACTTCACTAGTAACCAGTCACCTCCAGGTGACTCATTCACAACTCATTCCTTGGTCTCATGTGCTTTTAATCCAGGTCAGCACAGGCTAATTCTCCCATCTGTTTTCAACTCGGTCTCTAAAATACATATCCTAGTACAGAGACATGCTGCCCAACACCACTTTTGGCAGAGCAGATTCAACCTAAAAGATAAGGGATACACAGAAACGTTTAATTCATAACATTTCTCTCCAGAAACAGAACTCACCTTTGCTAGTGAGAGGTCATCTCATAGTTTCTGCAGATCAGAACATTTGAACACCAAGAAGTTTTCAAAGCCCTGGAGGCAAATAAAAGAAACTGAGAGACTTCCACATTTCCCAATGCTTTGCCCTGGAGCACTCAGCTTATTCACTTCCGCAGCAAGACTTGAGCAAATGACAGCTTAATACCAACATACAGCCTGGTACAGTAGCAATAGGTCAGGAAATTCTTTGAGCTCAGAGTGATCTGTGATCATGAGAACATCCCACAGACAGAGCAAGCCCTGGGAAGTGTCTAAAATCAGGTGATCGCTGAACAATCCAAGGTGTTTGTCACCTGGTTGCGGTAGATCTGGGAGGAGACATTTCCATTATTGATGTTTTAGCCCTCGGTATTGCTAAGAGTTATTCAGTACTTCTGAAGTCCTTGGACACCACTAAAACATAATGGAAGTACTAAACATGAATCTCTTTCTTGTTGCAGAGAATCATTGAGAGCCTATGTGTTGAAGGTCTCCTCCAGACCATGCTTTCTACTGACATTCAAGAAGACTGTCTTCACTGTGTGACATCTTGCCTTGCTGAGCTGGCAAAGCAAGGTAGGGAAGCAACCCCACCATAAGTGGCTCAATCTGAGAAGCGTACGTATCCTTTATTAATCCTAATGGGAGATGAAGCCCAGGTCTTTCCCTTTAAATTTACTGGGAGTTTTGGCATAAGCTTCAAGAAAAGCAAGATCTAACTCACTGGTGGGAGACATGGGCTCCGTTGTTCGCACTTTTTTCTGTTGAACTGCTTAAAATTTTTTAGTCAAAATTCTTTGTGCTGAACTTTACTTCCGTACATGGCCTGTCTATTTTTATTTGTAAGGTCGCCCAGTTTCTCCAGCTGAATTCATTTCACGACAGCAGAAACTAATATAAGAGGAGAAAAAGGCTAAAATACAAAGTGGCTGTTTCTCCTTAAGTTTATTGCACATAGATTTTATAAGAGATCCCAAACTACCACCCGTGGAAGGTACAGTACTCCTCACGGCACAGAGGATCAATGTAAATCTTCCCAGCGTGTCCCAGCACTGGATATTGCCTGTCAAACATTTCATCTCCTGCATCTCTTGTAACCACCACGCAACTGGCAACATGTCACATTTAATTTTGCAAGAGGTGCCCAGCAGCTGCTGGACAGACTGAGCCCACTAGGCAAGAGTGGATCTCGTGCATAAAATGATTCATTCTTTCAGAACACAAAACCAACAAAATAAAAATTCATCAGCCTTTCTATGAATCAAATGCACGGCCCTACCTTACTGAAAGCATACCCTCAGGACATGACCCTTTTTTACAGTCTAAACATACTTATTGCACTTATTTTCCTTCTCCAGGTGTGTAAAGGATTTCCTATTTAGGCAGTATATTTTCTGGCAGACCTCTCACCTTTGTTTCTTCGACCCTGGTGTTTCTGTTTACAGACTACTCTCTTATCTTTCTGTCCTCCAGAAGGAGCCACGTTATGCATGGTCCAACAGATGGATGAACCCTTGACAAAGCGCTTGGTGAGACTGGCTGGCCAACTGGAACATACTGAGGCATCCTTTCAAGCTGCCTCCATCATCCAGCACATGACAGGTCACGGTAACTGTCGCACGGCATTAACTGTGCTTTCAAAGATATTTATGGCTGTCTGGAGTGAAATGAGCCTTTTCCCAAAGGAGGTAACTCTCAGGCACCAAACAACCTTTAACGTTCCTCCATCTGGTCTCTACAAAATTTATTAACATAAAAGCACCTACAGTCACCCTTGAAATACACATAAAACAGTGCATGAGGAAGTCAAGGGATGAAAATGGACCAGAGATAAAGATCTGATTCAGGTGTTTGTTGCCTTCTTCAAGCACTACCATTCTGCAAGGCTAGTCTGTAGCCAATTCTGAGGTCCTTAAAAACAACTGAAGTAGGAAAGTGGAATAGCGTAAAACACTCCTTACCAAGGGAAAGATGAGAACATGTTTCAGACAAGAGGCATCGTTGCATCTTTCTGTTTGACCCTCCTTCTCAGTATATACAATGGAATGGCATTCCCCACAGACAGGAGCAGAGGTTGGTAGAGACAATTACAAGGGGATGGTTGTCTTCCAAAATTTTAGGTCAACTCTGCTCCCTGACCAGCAAGAGGAAAGCATCTTACTGAACCAAACACTGCCGTTGTAATTCTAGACCAGATTAGCAGGAGCATTGAAGTAAAGTGGCTTTTAAGTATGTGGCCTGTATTTTTTTTAAGTTTTAGTGAAAAAGAATGAAGAGAGCATTATTTTTACCTGCAGAAAACAAACAGCTTTATGCCTAATACACTTGTCCCATGCAGCTGAGAGCCTTTAAGACTTGCAAGAAAAAGGTGTTCAGATGATTCTTGCCACGTTCTCTAGAAAAGCATGGTTAGATTTTAGTCCTTAAACGTGAGAGAAGCTGAAGTCCGTAATGAGTCTCTAATAGGGGAAAACATAAAGCTGTTTCAATCCTACCATCGAGGATTTGCAACAGAGCAGACTCTCAAGTAGTGAGCAGAGTCCAACAGCGTAATCGCTTCAGGGATGGGTTAGCACGACAGGCTGATCAGTCCGTAAATCAGCACGCACCTCGCACAAGGACCAGCTTCCTGGCACAGCAGCCCACTCGGCATTTTATTTACCTGAAGTATCAGTGATACCGTTAGAGGCCGTAGTACCTGGAAGTCCTTTGCCGTTCTTTGCAGTAACATTGGTTGTAGCTGAAGTTAGATGAGTCATTAACGATCTTAAACTGATTTTTGTAACAACATTTTCAAAGTGTTTTAAAGGCTCCTATTGATCTCCAGTGGTTCTCCCGTTTATGCAGAAAAAATGATGCTTTTGGTGAAGCGTCACATTGGAGAGATTCAGGCCTACCTCAAGAATTTTCTTACCCACCAAGAGATCCGCTTTCAGCAGCTGGGCATCTCTACGTTCTGCAGACTGCAGGAAGGTACGTCCTTCCTCCTGGGCCGAGCCCCGGGGCGCTGCCAGACACTGCCTGCTCCTATCAGTGGCAAACAGGCGCTGCTTTATAACAGAAATGACAGTGCCGGGCAACGTCCCCTGGGGACTAGCTCTGCTCACTTAAGCAGACAGAATAACATCAAGGGTAGCTGTCACCTTACCTGTTTTTAAGTAACAGAGTATCTTACGATAAAGGCAGGGGTTGGTTGTTTGCTTTACAACTAAAGGCTTTCTGATCAGCAGGGAAACAGGACTTCAGGTACAGATGGTTTTATGCAATGTAAGAACGTTTGGCACTAGATGCAACCTAAAAACTTTTCAAATATGAATTTAGTTTATTTTGGTAAAGCAAGCAAATTGCATGATTAGCTGGTATTAAAGCTGGGAAGTCTCACATCTTTTTCATGCTTTAAATTCTGTTCCTTGATTTTTTTCCATTTTTGGTTAGTTTTTTTGGGTTTGGGTAGAAGTTGAGTACAGATGAGAGTTACAATACGGTAATAAATGTATATAGCGTGTATCTTCACATATGCAGAGCCAGAGCCAAGACCCTGCTATGTCTTGATATGCACCTGTTGCATAAGGCTGAATTTGGCAACTGAGCTTTAGGCATCTGGGTCAGGAGAATTTAGCAGCAGACAATCTTCAGTGGTCGTAGGGATGAAAACTGAATTTGTGTCTGCTTTGTGTGGTAGAAGAATATTGTTCTGCCTTCTCTGTACTTTACACTGCAATAAGAACCATCAGCTGTATCTAACCTGAAATATAAGCTTTCTAAGCATCTGCATTAAAATACAGGGAAAAACAGCAGGTTGCCTAACACTTGTTTTTCCTCTTCAGATCCAGAATTTTCATTAGCATTCAGAAAAAGCCAAATGGCCAAACTCCTTGAGCAAGTCCGTCAACAAACAGAAGAAACTCAGGAGCTCCTTAGGGCAGCTGTTTGCCATGAAGACAGTTAATGTTCAAGCTGGATGGCTTATGAAAACTTACCAGATCCAAGAGCCTGAACTTTCAGAGAAGACAACTCTTTTCATTGGTTTCTGTAGTTAAAGCTTCCCTGCGACCTGCAGTTTCATCATATACAAGAGATGTTCCGGTAACAAGAACTGGAGCAGGTCAAAAGACAATCGCTTGGACACTTTGGCTGGCTGCTTGAGTATGCTTGAGGACTACAGCTACATTCCTCCCAACCGTTTGGAAAACACCTGTTATGCTTGGGTAATCTTCCATGGTTTGTTTCTGGCTTCCTCAACCCCCCCTCCAAAAAAACAGCGCTGTATTCGTGAGGTTTTATTCATGTAACAGGCCGATTCTACTGAAGAGGCATCTCTCGAGTAGGCAGGTTACTCCGCGTTCATCTTTATTTTGTTTCTGCTCCACATCCCTTATTTCAGAGCACGCTCCAGGGCCTCGACTTTAGAAAATAATCAAATTAGCACAGTATAAAGGTAGCAAACTACTAACAGGTTACTACAGGAAGTAACTGCTAAGGGACAACTCGGAAATTGCAAGAAGTTGGTAAGAAACAAGAATAGGGCAAGCCTTAAGGCTGATCCTTGCCTACGCTGTAGGCACTACTCTCCAGCAGAAGAGCAAAGGCACACCGAGGCGGGTAAATGTTGCATAGAGCACGTTCAGAATATAGCGGCTACCATGAAAGATTTGGGCGAGATGTGTTTGAACACAGAAATCTGTGTTCTGCAAATGGTAAGTTATTTCCAAAGGTACTTGCAACAGGGGAAAAAAGTGAACATATTTTGCAAAATTAGGACCTGATCTTCTATTTTGATATTGATATTTCATTTTAAAAGGATTTAAAGAAAAAAAAGCAGTAATATGTTTAAATTCAACTGATTTTCTTACATGTATACAGGATACCGAACAACCTCCCCCTTCCCTCTCCTCCAGAGGGAAAGAGTCTGTCTCACAGACTTTTTAGCCAATCAAAACAGTATTTTTCAGGAAAAATGTAGCACAGAGCCTTGAAATTATGGGGCACTAGTTTTTTAATGTAGGTTTTAATTTGTAAAAGAAAAGTAATCTAAAAATAAATCATCATCATCATCTATTAGTAATCCAATTCCACCTTTGATCAATACACTTGTTTTTAAGTATAAGAATCCTCCTGGAGCTTCATGTTGAACTGGCTGGAATACTGAAATCTTGGAACCACTCTTATGGCAAACATCTGCTCCCAGATAGCACAGTTTCTTACGAAAACATTTCAGAAGAGTTTCCTGTCTTTTGAGGTACTTCTGACCATGGTATAACTCTTAGATGCATGTAGAGCTTTAGAGCTGCTACTGGCTACAAACATGGAATAAAAGCAAGATTAAAAAATAAGAACAACAAAAAAAATCATTCTGTCAACTAAGAGCTCAACATTACACTTTACTGTGTCCCAAATCTCTAAGCTTACTTCTGGTGCCTGGGAGAGACATTTCTGTTAATGATTCCTTTTAATAACTGCAAGTTCTCTCCAATAGTACTGTTTAAAAAAAACCACCAAACCAACCCAAAACAACCAAAACCACACTCAAAAGCCTCTCTGCAGCGCAGTAAAAAGAACAGGGCAGACAGAGACTTCAGATAAAGCAGTACGGCATTTTCAGTGTTTGCGTGCGACAGGAATTTTCTTTTGAAATCTCATGTGAGAGACCCATGTGCTCAGCTGTGGGCAGTCAGGCTTACTAAAACAGAGGACTATGAAGAGCTGAATGACACAGCTAGGAACAAAATCTCAAAACTCAGGCCACCTCCTTGGGTGACTTTAGATCATTTTCCAAAAAGAAAATCAGTGCAATATTAAGTAATGCCATTAGAATCTGTCCTGTATCTGTATTCTTAAGTATTTAATTGCAAACATTATTTCAAGGTCTTGGCAAGAAAGAAAATAACAAAGCATTCTTCATCAGGAATGAGGAGATAAGAGACATGTGAAACAAGCAAAGCTAACGGTAAATAACCCAGCAGTTGTGATGTACTGAATAAACTCGCTGAATGTCATCCCTGTAAGCATTTATGTTGTGCTGTTGAGACGTGAGCGAGGAGCCGAGACTTTCCAAAGCACAGAGTCGAGCTGCTGTGAAGGTTACTACTCCGTACCTTCAGAACAGCTGTCTGCGACTTCTACAAGTGCTAGTTCTACCTCACCAAATAGTTAAGTGTTGCCTCCGAAAGAACAAACAACAAAAACAGTTGCAATAATGGGCAAAGGAGCTGGCCTTCTTTTGATACCGCATTTTATTGTCAGGAACAACGTTCAACAGAAGAAAAACTATTTTTCCCCGCATTTGAAGAAAGGGGCTTAACCGAAGACTTAAAATTTCAATCCTTTTCATTTTTTAGGGTGGTTTTTTTTTTTTTTGATTCATACACCTAGTTCTACTCCCAGTTCCCTAGCTTTTAGTTTGTGTGTCAGGCCCTTGAAAAGGAGAAAACTCGCTCGCTCTTATTTGAAGCAAACCTGGAATGAATATCATTATAAATTGTTTTTACTGCAGTGCTGTTCAAAAAAACCCCCAAACACAACACACGAGAAATGAAGCAGGCTCTTCATCTGTGCTGCAAACAGTGAAGCAAGCATTCTGAAGTCTCACAAAAAAAAGAGACCAGCATAATTTATACCTGAGCCTAAATAGATCAAGATCAACATAATTTAAACCTGAGCCTAAGTGAATCCTCAAACTTAAAATTGAAGCTAAATCTTACTGGCTATTTGTTTGCTCTGTTTCTAGCTGCAAGTGACTCCGTACTGATTTTCTGGTAAAGAGATTAGAGGAAACCTAAAGAAAAGTTTTAAGCAGACCAGGAGTAGCAAGAAGTTTTCCATCACAGATTGACTCCTGCTTCAACTATGCAAGAAAAATGAAAATATAAATAGAAACAAGTATTTCAAACAAGTTTTATTTGGTACTTACATGCTATATATAGATTTAAAGAAAAACTACGTATTTCAGACACTTCAAAACATTGTGGCTATGTACATGGAAAACTAAAGAAAGCAAGAAAGGAACCCAACTGACTTCACTGTGTCACAAGCTACTACTGAAAGCATTCTGACCGAATGGCTGCTTTTTCCCTTCCATATATACTCTGGCGGATGAAGTCTCTTTCATCGCATTTCCACTGCTTTTATCCCACCTCCTGTATAAAATGAATACTTGGCAGCAGCAGAAAGTAATTTCTTCAGAAATTCTCTAGCTTTCGTCTCGGAGGATTTCTTCTGCTGGCACAGACTTTCTGCACAGCGTCCTACAGGCCTGGGCTCACTGCTCACTAAAGGCAAGTGCAGAAGTCTTAACAGTACACTCTCTGGTAGCATGAACTGACACCCCATAAACCTCCGTTTCCCCTAGCCAAGGATCTTCTCACTGACGTCAGTGAGCAATGCATCAAGCCCTGGTTGGTGCTTCAAGCTCAAATGCCTAGAGTGAGCTCTACCTGTAACAGTGCTGTTTATCAAAGCACAAAAAGGTGCAAGATTTTACAGTTCTGCCCAATTGCAACCGAAAGGGAGGGATGGAACAATGACAGCAGAAGTCGGCATCAAACTAAAGAGAAAGCAACCTGCACTGCTCCCCTTATCAATCGGTACTGCTTTATAAAAATCACGCACTACGTAAAAAGCACAAACGATGACCATTTTCCATTTGCTCTGAAACGAGCAAAACCAAAAAATCCCCAAACCAACCTGCTTCATCATCCAAAAATCAAGTATTTCAGGTTTCACGCAGTCTTCAATAGTCTGATAAGGCAAAGGAAAAGTCTTCCATCGTTGGGAACAGCAGCAATTTCCAGGACTCAGAACAAGGTATTTCCTTCTTGTGTGCGCACGCGTATGCGTACATACACATCTTTTATAGTGTTGTGAACGTGGATGTAACAAAAACAATCAAGTTTGCAGTATCGTTTTACCACATTTTTCTAATTTATTCAGTTAAATGATTTATTTCTGTACTGAACAAAATTCATAAATACATCTTCTAGGAGAACAATAGGTTTTCCTCTTGTCCATGAAAAAATAACGCTTTCAAATGTTCACATTTTAAAACCTGCCTTGTTTTGTGTTTTTAGAGAAAATGCGAGAAGATCATAGCGACGTCTCAATTTACAGAATGTCCCTGTAGGAATTACATTTACAAGAACCTGATACAGAAGCCTATACTTTGCCCCCATAATTAGAGTTCTCTGCAATAATATTTAAACCAACAGGTTTAAATAAAACACCCCATTAACTCTACTTGTAGAGCAATGAGGTATTTATTTTTCAAGTATTAGAACCACAAAGTGTAAAAGATTCTTTGCCAATTTTACAATTATGCCCTTTAAACCAACACCCACCTTTTTAAAAAAAAGAATCGGACCCACCACCCAAATCAGCCCATTGCTTTCAGATTCCAGTGTCTCGTGTCTTAAGGAATGCAGAAATATCCATTTACTAACAGAAAAAGCTTGTTGGAAGAAGCCGTATTTAAGTAATGCATGTGAAGCATGATTCTTCTAGTGATGAAAGCTATTAGAAAGGTGATCCGAGTCTATTCCCATCATTTCTTCTGCTGGTTTTACTAAAGTCCTTCCAAAAAAGATACTCAAGAAATCTTTAAAAAACTGGAGAGAAAAAATAAAACACTCCTTCATAGCATGGAAGAAACTCCACTGACTGCAGAGACGCTCATACCGCCTTTGGTTCTTCAGAAGAAACACAATCAGATCACTTCTACAACAGAAGGTATCAAAAATGGCAGGTCAGCAAAGAGTGACAATGCTTACTTCAAAATGCTGTGCATTTATGCAATTATTTTATTGCAAGGTGATTTTCCTTACGTTTTCTAACCACAGGAAAAAGAAAATGGTAGTCCAATTTAGTTTGCTAAATTAGTATTTGTTTACCTAACATCCTTTGAAAGTTGTGATGCAATTCAGAAAATCTAACGTGCTGCAAACCATCCCTCGCTATTAATGTCAGCAAGAACCTGATGAGGGAAGTACATCCAGAATTTTACACAGAAGGTAGGCACCAGCTCCCCTTCTGCGTGTGCGTATCAGATATCACACGTGCAGAACGGGAACACGATTGCTGGTCAAAAGCTAGGAACAGCAGTTGTCACTGTTGTCATTTCTGTTTGAAAGCTCAGGGCAACCATTTTCAAGCAACTTCAAACAACAGAAAGTGCGGTGTAACTGAGGACCCCCCTCAAACAAAAGATACGGCCTCACCAGAATTTGCACAGCATCTGTACGTACTTGGCACGTGTAGCTTTACAAAGAGAAGATGCGCTCCTTTCCCCAAGTAATAGGGGGTTTACAAATGCTTAAATTAATCAACTTATATCAATTAAGAGCTCTAGGTCCTCTGTCAATTGCAACACGTTACAAGTGTTAATGAAGCAAGGCAAACCTACCTGCTGTTTGATGTGTTTGAACACTATCTACCTGAGGCAAAAGGGTCCCCTTATCTTCAAAGGCTAGAATTGGATTCAAAGGAATTTCAGGACTATTGCTTCCGTCATTGTTCATGGCATCCAGCCGGGATGGTTTAGAACCAACAGGCAGGTTTATGATCTCTTCAAAATTATCATTCTGCATGGCCATTCCATTTTCGTTCGCATTTTTCTCTGGATTGAGATTGCTGAAAGAGAAACGTAGGTATTTCCTCATACACTTCATCTAGAACAGAAATTTAGTCCTCCTCAAAGCAATATTACAAATGGAAAAGTCTGCATTAATCCAGAGCATCCTTTTAGCCAGTAAAAGCAAAACTATGCTTCTACCACCGTAGAAAAAAATGTTTTTGCAGCCAAGTACTAGATATGCCTTCCCTCAGATACACAGGGTAGTTGTTACGTTTGGCTACACTATACCCAGAGAGAGCTTTATGGACACTGCAGTTCTGAGAAGTGACTGAAATGGGAAGCAGTAAGGAAACCCCTGCAGCACCGCCGCTGCTATCCTGAGCTACCCACCTAATGCCATTTACAGCCTCCAACCTCTTTTTCAGCTCTCATAACCTTTGCCATACCTCCTTTCAGTCCCTCCTCCCCTACAAGTTCTTAGGGCTTATTTCCAAGGCGCTACCCGACTCTCTACTCCTCCCGTTGATCATGCCCAAGCCAAAAGAAACACCTCCCGGCATCCCTCCTGTCAATCTGCACTTCCTTTTTCTATCTCCCACTTGACAGCGATGCCTTATGAGCTCCTGAGTACCAGTCAGGAGCGGTATGAGCACAGATACACTCTCCAATTACACATACTCTCCTGAGAAGATACATGATCGTGTCTCAGTCCTGCCCTCCCCTCCCAATCCTTTTATTAGGCCCTGTATCGTCAAGTCCTGCTGTCTTGCCGGAGGGGAGAAACTAAAGTGTTACTTCAGCGAACAGGATGACAGTAAGGGCATCATAAGCTCCTCGAGAAAGAGCAAGTACTCAACTGACACTAAAAAATCATGTGATCTTTCACAGGTGCTTCTTAAGGCCCTCAACAGTTGGATGCTGACAATCTTGGGTACCTACTCCCTATTTGGACCACATCACAACTGTTCAGGTTGTTGGCTTCAGCCACAAAGGCTCAGATGCAGTTTTCCTAGATTTAAACTAGGCTATCGATTTCCTCAGACCATTTCTGAGCAGTTAGCTTGGTTTCACAGGCTAATTTTCTCCTGACAGTACATTTACTAGTTTTAAAAAAACCCCAAAGCCTGCTTGTAATTGGCATATGGTTTATTTTCATTTGCTGGCTTCTTTGGGTGCCCAACTCTTCACAATTACAGAATTGTTTTACAGTGCTTCCCAAGAGACAGAAAACAACTATTGCTCTTTTGAAAGTAGCAACACTTTATCCAAAGCCCAGACTTCCTGTGAGAATGACATGCTGGTTTTCATATCAAGCCTTTCCCAGTTTTTCACACCATCACCAGTTCTTTTTCAGAAAGGTATTCCCCCTTTTTTTTTTTCCCAACTGTGGATATGCCGAGCGAATTCAAAGCACAAAGTATGTTTCGCTGCTCATACTTTGTTTGAGTTTGAGAGCAGACACAGAAATCCTGCTGGCTGCCTGGGAGAGGTCACAAGTCACATCACCCTTCTGTGCCAGAGACCCACATCTGTAAGATGAGGGGCAGAATCTGTGAAATGCTTTAGGACTAATAAAACCTGCTCTATAACATATAGTTATTAGGTTATGTTCACTCTAAGGTAGCCTATTACTTACTTCATCCCCACCTACTACCAGTAACCTTACCAGAGCTAGGATAACACGGCAAGTTTGATGGATGGGATAAGAAAGAGGGGGAGGAGAGCAACTGCTCATTCATATAAATTAAACACCATAGTACTTCATCAAGCATTGGTACAACGAAGACGACTCTTGCTTCTGCAGACAGATATTAATGTTTCTATCTGATTGATCAGCTGACTTCATAGATAAATAGTTCTTCATAGTTATTCGTCATTGCACTGCCAGTATTACAGACTGAGTTAGACCAGGATTCACAGACTTGAAAGATGCCTTTTCAGACAGGGGAGTCTATACAATCACAAAGGCGGTACGGAAGAGGAAACCATGACTATGAATTTTCTATATTTTACGCTATTTGCTCCACCAGATTACTAGGGGAGCAAGTTTAGAAGAAACAAAGGGAAAGACAGAACTGTAGAATTAATTCCACCGGACATCTTAGAGGCCATAAGCTCAAGAGATTAGACAAATTCCGAGGAGATTGGTATACCCTCCAGCTTCTGGTAATGAGCAGCTTAGGGACCACTTGAGCCTATGGTTGCATTTGGACCACAATGC